GGCAGAAAGCGACTTGGTGAGCTCTAGAGCAGGGTATGACTGGAAATTGCACTCTCAACCCTGAATTTCATAGCAGGGAAGGGCCCCTGATGGAGTCCACTGAGACCTTCTCATCTTCCTCTCCCAAGTCCCATCCTCCTGGGCCTGCAGACAGTGCTCTGGGCCGTGGGGCTGCATGGGGCCTTAACACCTATTGTGGAGTTCCGATTGTCGAAACATAGGCTCTAGAGAGAGCAGGTGGCCATGAGTCTTCTGCATGACCTTGAGCTCACTGGTTGTCCAGAGCCTCAGTTTCTCACCCAGACAATAGGACGGTGGCAGAGCTCACTCAAGGGGGTGTTGCAAGGTGAAACACAACAGTGCATGCCAGCGGCTTAGACGCTGCAGTGGAGGAAGCGCCCAGGAAGCGCCTGCTGCTGTTCTGACGATTTCCACTCCCGGAAATCGACTGCTTTTAAGGGCAGTCCTAGCCTGCAGAGGTGCGATGGGGGCTCCATTTTGGGAGAAAGGGGGCTTCCTGGAGGAGGGGCTCCTGGACTGGCTTCAATGGACAGGAAAGCATTGCTGCAGAGGCTGTCCTGAGCTGAGGCTCTGAAGTCTGAAGGGCAGAGGATATTCAAGACATCCTGGGATGTGGGAGTAAGTGGGTCCTGGGGCCAGCAGCCCTGCCTTCTTTCCTTTCTGGGGCCCCTCTGACCAGGGGCTAATCTTTGTTAAGATTCTTCTGCTCACTTGCTTTCTTAAATTAGGAACTTTCAAAAAGAAGGGGCCTCAGTGAGCAGACTGCAGAGGGGAAACTGAGGTGTAGCAGGACTGGGCTCAGTTGACGGAGTGGGTTAGTACTGAAGCTCCCCACTCAGCTCTTGCTCTGCGTATCTCAATGAAAGAGGCCTTTGCTGTGACCCATCTTCTTTCCTCAGGCACAGGAACTTCTGTCCTGTTCCCAGGGTGAGGGCCCGGCCCTGTGGCTCTGAGACTGTCTGGCGCCCTGGCCACGTGGGGCCGCCTTGGCTCTCCTCTGCCCCTCCCTGGCAGTGGCTCCAGTGTTCACAGCAACAAGGAAGCAATTTCCCAAGTGCTGTTGAACTCCCTTCCTCCAGGAAGTCTGCCCCACAGAAGGCAAGGGAGCATATGGTGGGAACATGGGTTCTGGGGCCAGATTACCTGACCTACAGCCTGGGTTCTGAGACAGCCACTCAATTTGGGTCTCCTGGTGAAGCCTCAGTGGTCCCGTCTGAACAATGAGAGCAAAAGGGAAAGTGTCAGGGAAAGAGCCCAGGGCTTGGAGTCGGGAGATCCGGGTATGAATCCCGCTTTGCTGTCCCGGCTCTGTGTTCCACACACGACTTCACCATCCTGGCCTCCGTGCCTGTCTCCAGCACGGGGATGGTTCTGCCTCCCTTGGGCATGAGCAGAGATGAAGGTGATGGTCATGATGGTGGTGACCCACATGGCCAGAAAGTGTCCACACCTTAGGCCAGCACCTCAACCCACAAAGACAGTGTGATGGGGACACCGCAGCTCAGGGTAGGGGGAGGGAGTGTGACTTGAGCGAGGCCACCAGACTGCAAGTGGCAGGACCCATCCTCGAACCCAGGCTGGTTGTGAACCCCGCCCTCTTCCGCCAGGCCCCAGGAGTCACTGTAAACACTTTGTACACTGTGTGACTCAGAAACAGGGGATTTTATTCTCCTGTGATGAAAGTAACAAGGCCTGAGGTTTTGCACCAGCCCTCTTGGCCCCCTTCAGGCTTGTGGCTAAAACACCCAGATCCTTTGCACCCAGGCTGTTGTCAGGTCAGTCTGTGGTCCCCACATCCCTCCGGCAGGCTTCGTGCCTGTTAAGATTCTTCTGCTCACTTGTCCCCCAGCTCGTCCACATCTCCCTGTCACTTCCAGCAGCCTCAGCAGCAAGGAGCACATTTCCTCCAATGCCTGTTAGGGCTGAGAACTGGATCTGGAATCAGAAGCTCTGGCCATATAGGGCCTGCCCTCCTCAGGGTACCAGTCAGGTGCCTTCCACAAGGCACATCCTCTCCATCTGCCCCAGACCCCAGCCATCCCACTTGCCTCGTTCACGTGACTTGACCCATCCCCATGGGCATCTGAGTTTGCAGCCCCAGCTCCAGCTAAACTTACCCCCAGCCCGTTTTCTCCTTTGTTGCCAAGGGTCCCAGGAGGCAGCAGTAGGGGGCCTGGCCAGAGACCAAATGGGCTTATTCCTGCCACCAAGTGTCCCATGGTCTGGGGCCTCGTAAGAGGAGAAAGTGGGGCTCTCTGGTTCTCGGTGACAGGCTGAGTCCCTGTGGCTCCCAGGCCACCTGCTTTCATTCTGAGGCTCCCAGATGCCCATTTGAGCTTGCAACAGGGGTGCTTAGGGAGCTTGGGGGCCTACAAGTACCGGAATCCATCGTGTTCCCATTCTGAAAATCAGAAATGAAGCCCATGCGAGGCCTCAGGCTCTGTCCCCTCATGCCCTACAGTGGTTGACAGTCTTTTCCCACTTTCCAGTCCTCGGGAATCACTTGTCCAGGCTCCAGGAAGCACAGGGGGTTCTGTTTTACCTCCCACCTACATCTTGCCTCATCTCCCTCTGCCAATCTAGAAAATGCACGTCACTCTAGACCCAAGGACTTAGGCAAACCTTCTCTCCCCCTTAGCCCCTTCCCCACCTTTTTTTTTTTCTTTTTTTCTGAGATTGCGTCTCGCTTTGTCACCCAGGCACGATCTCGGCTCACTGCAACCTCTGCCTCCTGAATTCAAGCATTCTCCTGCCTCAACCTCTTGAGTAGCTGGGATTACAGGGGCCCACCACCACGCCCGGCTGCTTTTTGTACTTTTAGTAGAGATGAGGTTTCACCTTATTGGCCAGGCTGGCTTTGAACCCCTGATCTCATTCAGGTGATCTGCCCGCCTCGGCTGCCCAAAGTGCTGGGATTATAGGCATAAGCCACCACGTTCGGCCCCCACCTAAAGGGTCCCAGGTCCAGGAAATCCCACCCCCTCCTCAGCGTGTGACCTCCAACAAGCTTCCTTGCCTTTCTGAAGTTGCAGTTCTCTTATAAAAGAGGACCTGGCCAGCCTGCCTGCCTGCCTGGCAGCCTCCCTCCAAGTCAGGTGAGGCAGAGTGGCCCATGGTCCTGACCGTGTTAGGCTGATGAGCGGAACCCTGGTACACAGTCCTCCAAGGGAGCGGCCCTTTCCTCGGGTCCGCCCCAGCCACTAGGGAGTGTGAACAGGGACGTTCCAGGGAGTGCTGCAGGTAAGGGAACTAAAGAGGAAGCTTGGAAAGGACTGGTGTGGTGGAGGGGCCTGTGGGGTGAACTGTGCCTCCAGTGGCCAGTAGGAAGGAGGGAGAGCAGTGTCATCCTTGTCATGCTTGTTGAATCTCCTCCGAGTCAGGGAGGATTCCCAGGGTTTTATAGGAACTCTGTCATTTCGGTGGGGCTGGGTTACTCTCCCCATTTTGCAGATGAGGAAACTGAGTTTGAGCTCTAAGGTGCACTACTGAAAAAGCACATTACAGAATGACACGTCCAGGCTGAGACCATTCAACAAGAGTTCCATGAGAAACATATTCTGCGTTTTCCATTCATGGAAAGAAATTGGTCACAGTGGGGACGCTGGAGGGGAGCTTAGAGCAGTGGAAAGAGCCTTATCTGTAATGCTTTTATTTTTGTAAATGTTCATATGTTGCTTGTGAAATGTAAAATTAGTAGTAACAAAAGTATGTATGGTGGGTGGGGGGAGGTCCCTGCAAGCTTGACGTCACTCAGAAGTGTCTCTTGGCCTCAGCAGGCTAAAGGAGGGTGGGGGCCTGGCCACCTTGAGCCTGCCAGCACCTCTGGGGCCTGGGATGCAAAGTGGGGGTCCTTCCTGTGTGGGCTCTGGCAGAGAGGGAGTAGGAAATGCTGACAGTTTTCTCCAGGTGTAACGTCCCAAGCCAGGTACGCTCGCCCCCTGACCCCAGCTTCCAGGCCGAGATGCCGTCTAGCCCCTCACAGAAGCCCTCTGCACCTCTGCCCAGCATCCTGGTGGAGTTTTTCTTCTGCCTAAGGCCCAGAGAGAAGAAGGCATGTTATTGGGATCCCAGAGTGACTTAGGGCTGGAGAAGCCGGCTGTCCCATCCTGGGGCCACCTCCCATTGTTCTTGTAGACATGGGAGAGAGTGCACAAGGCAGGCTTGGGATGCTGGGAGGCCGAGGGTGGCAGCACTCCTGGGTTCTCTCCCTGGGGGCATGAGCCACTTTCTCATGTCTGTTGCCTCAGTTTCCTTTTGTTAGAGCTAGGGTCCTGGTTCTGTTGCCCAGACTAGAATGCAGTGGCGTTATCATAGCTCACTGCAGCCTCCACCTCCTGGGCTCAAGTGATCCTCCTGTCTCAGTCTTCCCAGTAGCTGGAACTATAGCCTTGTGCCACCCTACCTGACTAAGTTTTTTTTTGGTGCTGACAGGGGTCTCGATAGTTGCCCAGGCTGCTGATCTCAAACTCCTGGGTGCAGCTGATCCTCCCACCTGACTCTCCCAAAATGCTGGAATTATAGGCATGAGCCACTGCACCTGGCCCTCAGTTTCTTCTTCTGCCAAACAGTGTGTGTAGAGTTTAGATCACCGTGTGTGTAGAGGTTTAGATCACCATGTGTTATAGAGGTTTAGATCACCATGTGTGTAGAGTTTAGATGATCACCATGTGTGTAGAGTTCAGATCACCATGTGTTATAGAGATTTAGATCACCGTGTGTGTGGAGGTTTAGATCACCGTGTGTGTAATGCTTTAGATCACCATCTGTGTAGTTTAGATATGTGGGGCAGCACGTAGCGACCATTCTCTGTCAGTAAGTCTTTTGAAACCCTCTGGAAAGAGGCTGGTGGTGACCTCAGGGTTCTCCCAGTAGAGGCCTAAAGTCAGACCTCAAGAAGAACTTCCCAGCAGAGTGAGGTATTTCTGTCTCCACTAAGACTCTGGGAAAGCAACAGCTGATGGGCTCCCTGTGCTCTGCAGGGCACCGGCAGAAGCTGGAGGACCAGACCAAGGCATTCCCCGACCGCTTTGGGGACCTGGAACGGCTGCGCATGCGGGTGACACCGAGCACGCCCAGCCCCCGAGGCTCACTCAGCACCACAAGCCACTTCAGCAGCCAGCCCCAGACCCCTATCCAAGGTATGGCACTGAGGGAGGGGCTGCAGCAGGGTAAGGTGGGGGTGGAGAACCTGGATGTGGTCCAATCTGCCCCAGACCAAAAGCCCATCAGAAGATCAGTCACTGCACCTGCCTGTTTTATAGAGGCGCTGCTGGTACTCATTTGCACCTGCAGATGGTTCCTGAGGGCTTGCTGTGTGCTAGCCATCATTCCTTCACTCAGCAAACATTTACTGACATTACTGGCATATGCCCAGGGCCCAGCCCCAGGGATCCACATGGGCAGACAGCACCCTGCATACCAGTTCACTGTGTCTGGGGAAATGGGGTTAATTCCATAGTGCCCCTATTAGAATTGAGCCATGACTTGTCCAAGGAGCCATGACAGACTCGTCCCTGCCATGTAGTTTCCCCACCCCTGCCCCCAGCCTCTGATTTTTTCATCTGAAAGTGAATTGGTGGTTGGTGCCTCTGCCCAGGGCTGGGATGATATTCAAATGGCATTACTGCACTCACACAAACTTTGCACACTGTTAAGTGACGTTCCAGCCCTACAGAGGCACATAGCATTCCTGGGAAAGGTCTCCCACCCTGCCCAGAGCCTCCTCCCAAACAGGAGGAACTGAGGTGGAAGGGAAGGCTGAGCAGGGTCTGTCTCCACTGCCTAGACGGATAGCAGCCGGGTCTCAGGCAGGTTCTGGAGTATCAAGCTGCCTGGCATATAAGAGGGGCTCGCCAAACGACTGCGGGCTGCATCTCTCCTCTGTTCTCTTGGTCAGTGAGCTGGGACGTGGGAGGCTGTGTGCATGGCTGGCCTTTGGGCCAGGTGGGGTGCCAAGGGTGCTTGGTGGCTGGGTGGACAGAGGCAGGCAGGCTGGCTGCTGTCACAGGCCCTGCCTGTATCTTTCTCAGTTCCCAGAGCCTGGTTAGAACTCCTTGGCAGATGAATGAATTGAGGCCTAAGAGGTTCAGAGCCACCCTTGGGTCACATAGCCCACCTGTGACCAGGTCCAGAGTCTCCATAGTATGTGTTCCCAAGGACTTTCTGTACTTCTTAGGGGACAGATAAGGGGCCTGGAACAGGGCTGCCACGCTGAGGTGGGGTCCGACTGGGTCCCTCTGTTGACATTGTTCCAGGCATCGTGCAGTGGCCAGGAGCTTGATCAGGCCCTCAGTGTGAAGAAAGAACCCCTCCCCTTCTGGCCTGGACTTAGGACCTCCAGCAGTGGTCCTGCTGAGACGCCGAGGTCAGAAGAAGCCCCAGGCCCAGCCTCTCTGAGCCCAGGAGCTAGTGCATTTGAGACTTTCAGCTCTTGAGCCCGTTAGTTGGAGGTCTGCGCTCAAGAGATGGTGGAAGGAGCCCTGAATGCTGTGCTTATGCCCACCCCTGCCCTATAGCTGCTCCTGTTCCTGCCGCCCACAGGCCAGCATCTGTCGAGGTGTGGTAGCCTGGGAACCAGCCTTTCCCTGCCATGAACAGAGCCAGGCCAGGGGATCAGGGCCTAGCCAGGGCGCCAGAATCCAGGAGGTGGGGTAAACAGTGGCTTCCTGTCCCCCAGCCCCCATGGAACGAGAGCCCCCATCTGCCCATCCACCGATGTGTGGATACAGCTTGGGAATCAGTGCCTGCAGGAGCCTGGGGCAGGTGTGGTCACCTCCATCCAGCCCCAGAGGGCCAGGCCTAGCCCCACAGCAGGCACAGCTGCTGCTCACACCCTGGACTGGGAGGAAAGGGGCTCTGGCCTGTGCGGGGCAGTGGCTGACCTCTGCTTCTCTGGCTGCTTCCTCCTGAGGCCTCACCCAGTCCCTCACTAGCCACCCACAGCACTGGGCCACAGTCAGCCAGGCCTCTCCATCCCCAGGCCCAACCTCTTTGGGTGAGAGAAAGGGCCTTGGACACCCAGGACAGGGCAGAAGTGTGAACTCTGTCAGGTGGACCGGCTGGGACTCAGGCTTTGCCAGGCATTGGCTGTGTGATCTTAGATAAGTCACTTAAACTTAGCCTCAGTTTTCTCATCTGTGAAGTGGGGAGAAGGAGGTCCCTGACAAAGAGGGGGTGTTGACAGGCCCAGGCTTGGGAAGTCACTCTCACAGAGATGCCCCCGCCCTCAGGCTCCCTCCTGGGGATCCCCCTCGGAACACCCCACCACCACTTCTTTCAGTGCCTATTAACTGCCTTGACCCTCCAACCTTGGTCACTGGCAAGCAGTGCAGAGACCCCAGCCCCTCCCATACCCCAGCCCCAGCCCCCAGCCGCAGCCGCCCACAATGGGGGCTTCTCACAGCTGAAAGGGCTCATTCAGCCACCATGCAGCAGCCGGGGCAATCTGGAGAAGAAAATAAACATTTCCTTCCACTGTTGGGATTGGCTGCTCGACAGTGGCCCGGGCAGCTCGGGTTTCCTGGGGCTGCGAGGCTGCCGGGTGGGGGTACAGGAGCTCCGAGGAAGCTGCTGGGGAGCCTGAGGGGGTGCTGAGGGCAGGTATTTCCCCCACCACCCTAGAGGAAGGGTGGTAGCCTTGAGGAGAGAGGCTGGAGGGGACAGTGGCAGGTCCAGGGAGGCCCAGCCCAGCGTCCGGCAGCCCAGTGAGCTCTGAGGGGCGCAGTCCTGCTATTGCATCCTGGGGTCCCTGTGTGTCTCCTTCGTCTTGAGAATGGGGTTTCCACAGGCGGCCAGCACCCACTTCCACCCCACCTGGCACCTGCCACAGGACCTCTCCCCCTGAGGGGCTCCCCAGATGAAAACCGGCAGCCAGGCGCCTCAGAGGCTCTCGGCCTCAAAGGGCAGGGAGAGCCAAGTGACCTAGGGAGAGTCCCGGATGTCCCAGAAGGCCCCCGCCACCCAGACTGCTGTCCCCACATCTTCTTACCTCAAGCCAGGACCGTCCCTCCGCTCTGATCCATGCCCAGGGCCAGAGTCTGCTGCTGAGGGAAACATACCCCTGCCGACTTGGGAGGACCCCAAAGCCCCGAGAAGTTCCAAGTCCTGGCTGAAGCCACACAGCAGCTCAGGCGCTCAGAGCTCTCCATCCTCAGCCAAGCCTCGGCATGGCAGGCAGAGCCCACCCCAGCCAGCGCCAGCCCTTACCCTTTGGTGGGTGAGACAGGGGATGCTGGGCCGGACAGACTGCACCTCTGGACCACTGCTGGGGGCTCTTCTGCCTCCCCCTGCTGCCAGAGTACAAGGGAGGCCCTGCACCAAGACCTCATCTCAGCAGGGCCCTGAAGGAGCCAGTTCTCCTGGGTACCCGGAGAAAGAGGCACCACAGCCACAGTGGCCTTGCAAAGCCTCACGGACCCCTACTCTGTGCCCGGTGCCATTCTAAGTATTTGATGTGTATTAACTGAATCATGATGAAATGTTATCATCTCCATGTGTTATATGGAGAAACTGATGCACAGAGAGGTTAAGTGACCTGCCCAAGGGTACACAGCTAATAGGTGTCCAAACCAGGATAACTGTCCGGCTCCAGAAGCTGCATAGTAAGCCTTGATACTGTGCTGCCTCAAAGACGGGATAGCTCCCTCTCAGGCATGTTTTGGGGCTCAGGACCAGAGACCCTAGGATTGTGTGCCAGGTCCAGTGTGCTATGTGACCCTTAAGGAAGTGCCTCACCCTGCCTGGGCCTCAGTTTCCCCACCAAGGGTGTTAGACTCAGTCCCTGAGCCCTTAGAATACTGAGGTTTTGGAGGTCTGTGATGACAATCGGGCAGGTGCTGGAACACCCTTGCCTTGGAGCCCATTGAGAAGCCACGCTCCTGGGGGGGGCAGGGGCAGGGTCTGGGCTGGACACTGTGACCAGGCCAGGGTCTCGGTCCCCAAGTTTGACTGCTGTGTCACTTTGCTGCCAAGGCAGGTGGCATTGTGCATATGCACACACTCACACACACACACATGCACTCATGCGCACACACTCACACATACACTCACGCACTCACACACATACACACACATTGACACTCACACACACGTGTGTCCCCAGCAGAGAGCCGTGTGGTGAGTAGCAGTCCTTTCTCTATGCAGGTGTGTGGACACACACACTCACACGTGTGTCCCCAGCAGAGAGGCCGTGTGATGAGTAGCAGTCCTTTCTCTGCCACAGAGAGACTCAGTCTTGCTCTCTCTGCCTCCATTTTCTTTTATTTGAAAGCGGATTCCAACTCCCAGCCTCACCTCAGAGCCCTTTTCACATCCATGGCTTTGTCAGCTGTTACCACAGATGGGTGGGAAGAGGCACCACCTGGGCCTGGGGGGCTGCTGGGAGACCTGAGCTGACCCCGCCCTCAGCGCCGCCCCACCCCCACATCCTAGGCCTCTCCTCTGCGAGGCTGGGAAGGAGGATTTTTTTGTTTTGTTTTGAGATGGAATCTTGCTTTGTTGCCCCAGCTGGAGTGCCGTGGCGCAATCTCAGCGCTCACTGCAACCTCTGCCTCCCGGGTTCAAGTGATTCTCCTGCCTCAGTCTCCCAAGAGGCTGGGATTACCAGCGCCCACCACAATGCCTGGCTAATTTTTTTTCTTTTTAGTAGAGATGGGGTTTCACCACGTTGGCCAGGCTGGTCTCAAACTCCCGACTTCGTGATCACCTGCCTGGGCCTCTCAAAGCACTGGGATTACAAACATGAGCTATCACGTCCAGCCCCGGAAGGAGGATTGAAAGAGAAGAAAAGGTCCTCCCCCTCTTCTGCTGCTGCTGGCGGGGAGGCTCCCATGGCCCTTCTTGGCCCAGGGCAGCTCCCACCTGCTCCCCAGCGGATCTGTGTTCCAAGTTCTGGCAGGCGAGGCCCTGGGCAGCCTAGGGCAGGAGTGAGGTCTAGAACCAGGAGTCTCCTAGGTGGGCCTTGAGTCCCCTAGATTGGCCAGAGCCCAAGGTCATTCTTCAGGAAGGCCTCCTGGGGGCGTCTCGGGCTGCCACTGACCTCTTCCTTGCTGTCCTCCAGGCACCTCGGAACTGAACCCATTCTCCGACCCCCGCCAGTTTGACCGCTCCTTCCCGACACTGCCAGCCCTCACGGAGAGCCGCTTCCCGGACCCCAGGATGCATTACCCCGGGGCCATGTCGGCTGCCTTTCCCTACAGCGCCACGCCCTCAGGCACGAGCATCAGCAGCCTCAGCGTGGCAGGCATGCCGGCCACCAGCCGCTTCCACCACACCTACCTCCCGCCACCCTACCCGGGGGCCCCGCAAAACCAGAGCGGGCCCTTCCAGGCCAACCCGTCCCCCTACCACCTGTACTACGGCACATCCTCCGGCTCCTACCAGTTCTCCATGGTGGCCGGCAGCAGCAGCGGGGGCGACCGCTCGCCCACCCGCATGCTGGCCTCCTGCACCAGCAGCGCTGCCTCTGTCGCCACCGGCAACCTCATGAACCCCAGCCTGGGCGGCCAGAGTGACAGCGTGGAGGCCGACGGCAGCCACAGCAACTCGCCCACGGCCCTGAGCACGCCGGGCCGCATGGATGAGGCCGTGTGGCGGCCCTACTGACCGCCCCAGTGGACTCCTCCCGAGGGAGGTGGGGACCCTAGCAACCTTCGAGACCAGTGACGGGCCAGCTCCGAGGCTCCGGGCAGGAATGGGACTTGCACTCTAGCGTGGTCTCGGTCCCAGGGTGGTTCCAGCTGGTGGGTGTGTCTGACTGCACCTGTCCAGCACATCCTTGTACAGAGGTGTGGGGAACAGCCCCACCTGGGACACTGCCCCCAGCCCAGATCCCGGCTGTCTCATCAGCCTCCTGCCACCTCCCCAGAAGGACCTCACTGTCTCCAACTATGCCCAGTACTGCATGGGGCCCGTGTCTCCTGGGGCAGAGGCCATCTCTCTTCCAGAGAGAGGCAGCATTGGCCCACAGGATATGCCTCAGGCCCCAGGAAACATCCCCACCCCTGCACCCCCTGGGTCCAGCGCCCTCTGTATTTACACAAATGGAGTCAGAACTGGAAAGTGTTTCCCACCCCTGCCACCCTTGAGAGGGGTTCCCCTCATTGTACAGATGGGGCAGGACCCTGCACGTTGCTGGCAGAGATGGGATGAGAACACATCCAAGCCAGTGCCCCCAGCCCAGCTTCCCCTCCGTTCCTAACAGTTGGCTTTCCCCCAGACGCATGGGTCCCAGGCACCAGAGATGAGTCTAGGGCATCAGCTCCCTAAACCCAGGAAGGCCCCTACAGACTGGCTCCTCCATGCACTTTACCAGCCCAAGGCATCCACTCTCTGTTCTCTTGGTTGGGGGTGGGGGATCCCCTTTCCCCTAAGCAGTCTCATAATTTTCATTTGTGGAGAGAATAGGGGGGTCAGATAGGTCCTAGCAGAAGTCATTGAGGTGAGGGATCATTTGGGGTCAGACATCAGCGTTCCTGTCCCACCTAGGTCCAGCCAAGCTGCGCCCCATCCTTCAAGCCTCCCTGGAGGACCTGGCCAAATCTTGCATCCTGACACATGCCTGTCTTTAGCCTATTTTGTGCTCTGAAAGCGAGCAGTCCTGAACAACAAAAAAAGTTTTTAAAACTGATTTTAGAAAAAGAAGCTTAATCTAACATTTTCAAACACAAGGTCTCTTAACAAGTGTAGCTCCGGGATGATAAGCAGCATCCCTAGCTCCTCCCCCTCACCAACCCCCAGCTGCCTCCTGAGAGTGTGGGGTCATTAGGGTCTCAGTACTTCCTCAAGGGGCTACATTCCCTACCAGGCAGCATCCCAGCAGCCTGCACCACAGGTGCCCCTGGGAGGACAAGGGAAGTGCTGGTGAGATGCTGGGCTCGCTGTCCCCTGTGGCTCTGGGACATCTGTCCAGGAGGCTGTGCGGGTGTTCTGGTTGGGGTGGGTGGGATGCAGGAGGTGGGGAGCACTGGCTTTGCATGGCAGAAGAGAAGCACTATAAGGGCATGCCAGCCGCATCTCAGCCCCACTACATTCTGAGGTGAAGTCCTGCCCCTGAGTTTTGCAAAATGGAAATGTGGGCCCTTGCCCTAGGGCCAGGCACGTGGATTCTCAGAGTTCTCTGGCCCTAGAAAGGCTTAGAAAATGTGTTAAAGGACAGGAAACTCATAAAGGCTAGCAGCACATGGTTTTTGTAACTTTCTATGGATGCAGAAATCTGCCCTACAAAAGGATCCTCAGTGTTGCCTCTGTGAGAGCACTGCCCCCACCCAATCTGTCACAACAGCTAGAACCATACACCAGAGACACACTGGCAGGCTAGGCAGTCCTTCTGGTGATCCTATTCCAGTCCCTCCTACTGCAGTTTCTCTTGGCCTGTCCCCACTGGAAAAACAGTCTCCATCTCTTCAAAACAACTGCTGACTCCCTGCACCCAGGGTGCCTCTCCACCCTTACTTAGGAAGCAGCTACAAGTCCATTATCCTTGTACTTTCTTCCTTCCTGATTTCTGGTTGTAGCTGGTCCTGGGTCAGTGTAGGAAGCACCATTGGTTCCCAGGGCCCAGCACTTTGTAGTCTCATCCCAGATGACTACCCCTTCCTGATCCTCAAGCCTTGGAGAAGCAGGGATGGGAAATAAATTGCTCTTCCTACCCCATCCCCCATCCCCTGACAAAAAGTGATGGCAGCCGTACTTTGTTTGTAAGGCCCAAAGTGGGTACAGACAGCCCGGGCTGGTAAAAGTAGGTCCTTATTTACAAGGCTGCTTTAAAGTTGTAAAAGGCAAACACTGATATAGGAAGCAGGAAGAAAGGAAGATGTTTTGATACAATATAACTGTGAGCCTGTCAGTAGTGGGTACCAATCTTTTTATGACATATTGTCATGCTGACGTGTGACACTTGCTGCACTCATATCTGATGCAAAACCATCCCAGAGCTGGCGAGAGGATGGAGCAGGGTGGAAACTGCTTTGCACTATCATTTGCTTCGTGTTTGTTTTTGATGCACAACTTGCTTGTACAGTAAACTGTCTTCTGTACTATTTAACTGTAAAATGGAATTTGGACTGATTTGTTACAATAATATAAGTCTGAGATGTGTTGAAGGAGCCCAGTGCCAGGCTTCTAGGGCTATGCATGGAGGTGGGGCGGGGGATGGGAGAGGATGGAGACCTCCTGCTGTTCCCAGGAGGAACTGGGCAGGACCTGGGGCAGGAACAGAGACACCCAGCGCCTTCATCTCCTTGCTTCCAGCTTCTTCAGGAATGGCCACAGAGACCACCCTTGCCACAGGATAGCCCACCGGTGAAGCCTCCTGCTGTATGGGCAGAACCCCAGGAGAGCATCAAATAGGTCTTCAAAGTGCTACCAAACCTTCCACCAATCTTGAGCAGGCGGTGATTCTTCCCAGCCATGTTGGGAAGAATTCCTACCTGTTCCCCAGACTCAGATTTCTGGGGGGAAGCAGAGGCAGAGGAAGAGTCCAGCTGCCTGGGTGAGAGCTCTCCTCTGAGCCTCATGTTTCAGGATCTGTGGCAAGCTAGCAACAGTGGGGATTGGGAGAGAGCAGCCACTTCAGTGCTCCCATTTTGCAGATGAGACAACTGAGGTGCAAAGAGGGAGTGTCATCAGGGTCCATGTCTCCCTGGGGCTGTCCGTGGCTGAACTGGGACCACACTCCAATGTTGGTAGCATGGGTGTGATGATGTGGGGACCTGGCTTGAAAGCCCCCCTCCCGCTATTTCTATTTATGTTTATTTGGGGGTCACTTTGTAGGGAATGATAGCCCCTCCTCACCGGACATACTTTGGTGCCACAGCAGATGGGAGAGGAGCTGATCTCCAGAGGAGCTGACCTCCAGAGTCCCTGACTCAAATCTCTATCACCTGTACCCCAGCAGACACGAATCAGCACACCTAAATTGCCAACCAGAAACTCAAGGTCCAGAGCAATCTCCAGCCTGCCTGAGGTCTCAGGGCTGTGGGAGGAAGCGCTGCAGTAGCCACAGTGGCCTGCAGGTGGCGGCAGGGCTGAGCATTGCTGGGCAGCAGATGGAGAGAGTGGACATCACCCCCTTCGGACAAGGGTGAGGACAGGCTGCCTCAGTTACAGCAAGAATTCAGGTTAGGTACTAAGAAGAATTTCCCAACCTGAGGTGATTCATTCCCAAAAAGGTCTGGGAAAGGTCTTGATGGGGGAAGGTTTTTCCTTCCAGAGCTGTGTGGCAGTGAGGGGTCCCTCTCCCTCTCTGAGCCTCTCTTTTAGGTCGTGCGCTAAATGAGCACCGGCTGTGTGCTGGGTGTGGAGTAGGATGCCACGTCCCATGATCCTCTGCTTTGGGACAGGGGTGTACCTGGCCTGAAGGAAGGGTTGACTTTCATAGTCCTGCAACCCTGTCCTCCTGGACCCTGGGCCCAGCCTCACCCTTGTCCCCTGAGCCACCAGCAGGAGCTTAGGACATGCAGCAGCCAGTCCAGGCTGAGAAAGCCATTGTTTCCACAGTGTGAGAGCCCCTGGACTCCGGAATTTCACGTTGGAGGCTCTAGGGGTCCCGTCGATGTAGGCTGGACTTTGAGTCCCTCCAGTTTCTCCAGCCCCCTCAGCTTGAGGCTGGCCCAGTGATGAACCCAAAGAGCTGGATGCAACCTGGGGGCTCCCAGACATGGCCTCCTGAGGGGTGAAGTGGCCCCAGACAGACCCATCTTGCTGGCTCCTGGGAGCAGGCCACTGCTGGGCCATGGCCATGGGGATGGCTTTGGCTTTCATGCTGTGAAAGAGGTGTCCTGGCAGGGGCCGCTGGCTGGAGATGGTGCATACCCATGTGGTGGAGTGGTGAGGGCTGGAGGAGATGGTGGGGGGTGGAGCCAGCACCATGTGACTGGGAGGGCAGGGCTGGATGGAGACCCAGCCCTGCCTCCCTCTTCAGCCCCAATTCCTCCTAGATGGTACCCCCATAAACCTGCCCCCCACCCAGCGTGGCCCAGCGGGCAGCTCTCAGCCACACCGAACACCCCAGCTTGGCCACGTGAGTAGAGAATACACCTCAGTGGGTCAATTCATTTTGGGGTCGTAAATGAAATGAGCTGTCAAATGGGACAGGGGCAGGAGGGAGGCCAGAGTGGAGAATGAACTGTTTCTGGCGGAAATCCAGAATGCCCCTCATTCCTCCCCATGAGGGCTCTGGAGCTGGGAGGGGCGAGGGGCCACATCGCCCCGACATCCGCAGCCATACCTGTGTGGTCCAGCAGCTGGGGGAGCCTGGGGAGCCGGATCCCACGCTTCCTAGTTTTAGTTTTCCAGCTAAGAACGTGCTGTTTGTTTTATACATTTATATTCACCCACAGAAAGGGCCTGCCCTGGCCTGGAGGACCTATCATAGGAAGGGGGGTGCAGCAGCCCTGGAGCCGGCCTGGACCACTCTCCTTTGTGCCCACCCTGACAGATGGAAGCAGTGTGGGCTCTCTGGTGTCCAAGAACGCCATTTGGGCCTCACCATCCCACTCAGCTCTTAGGGCTGGGTGTCTTGGAGGCCTTGGCTAGAATTCATTCACTCATTCACCAAACACAAAGCCCCACCCCACCCTCAGGAGCCAGACACCAAGAACAAGGTGAACAAGTCACACCATGCCCTCGGGGATCTCACAGGGCAGACAGACAGGAAAACAGATTGTGCCAACCCAGTGTGGATCAGGGCAAACAAGGAAGGCTCCCCGGAGAAGGCGTCCCTCTCCCGAGAGCAGATGGAAAGAGGAGTAGGAATGGACCCAGCAGAGAAGTGTCAGGAGGGAATCCCACGTGTAAAGTCCAGGTGGACTGTGAGCTGGGAGGATGGTGGGGAAAGCGGAGCAGTGGTGGGGGAGGAGCCGTGCCAGGGGTCGGTGGCACGGAGGAGCCAAGCAGACACGTGTGTGTTGGAGGGGAGCACCATGATGGTGCAGACTGGGGATGAGGGTACAGAGACCTGCTCACAGGCGACTAAAAGAGTCCGGGCAAAGGAGGGTGAAGCCCGAGCAGAATGACAGAAGGAGGAGCTAAGAGGCATCTTAGACAACACTGGCGCCAAAGTCACAGGAAGGCCGCCATGCCCCAAACCCCACTTATAAATGTCTCTCCGTCCCTCAGGGTTAGTGGCATTTAGTATGCCACTGGGGACACGGTCTTAACAATAGTCTTTCTTATCACCCAGTTTGCCCTGTCCCTCCTGACCACTTCACATCCTGCCTCCGTTTCCTTAAAGGACCGTTTGACTGCACCGGAGGTCACATGCAGCCTCTCAGACTTGTGGGTCTGGGGCTCTCGGAGTCCGGCTGAGCTACCCCACTCTCCTTCATGGTCTAAAAATATAAAGCTTATGAGACTCCGCATCCGTGGCTCCTGAGTTCTATGTACTACATTTTAAATAATATTTCTAGTTTTTATTTTTAAACAGGGTCTCACTGTCACCCAGACTGGAGTGCAGTGTAGCCTCCAGCTCCTGGGCTCAAGTGATGCTCCTGCCTCGGCCTCTCAAGGAGCTAGAACTACAGGTGTGCACCACCACAACTGGCTGATTTTCTTTTTTAGAGGCAGGGCCTCATCATGTTGCCCAGGCTGGTCTGGAACTCCTGGTCTCAAGCAAGCCTTCCACCTTGGCCTCCCAAAGTGTTGGGATTACAGGGATGAGCCACGGCGCCCAGACTAAATGACATTTTAAAGTGACACAAACTAATACATAATCATGAGAGGGAAAATAGACAGTTACCAAAAAGCACACAAGAAAAATAGCCCATAATCCCCTGCCTACAAAGATAACCACTGTTAATATTTTTTTAGGCTTTTCTCTCCATTCAGATCTTTATTTTCCATAAATATATAAATACATTTTAGAAATAAACATTTTTTTTTTCTTTTTCTTTCTTTTTTTTTTTTTTTTTTTTTTTTGAGATGGAGTCTCGCTCTGTCACCCAGGGTGAAATGAGTGCAGTGGTGTGATATTGGCTCCCTGCAACCTCTGCTTCCTGCGTTCAAGCGATTCTCCTGCCTCAGCCTCCCGAGTAGCTGGGACTACAGGTGCACGCCACCACGCCCGGCTCTTTTTTTGTATTTTTAGTAGAGACTGGGTTTCACTGTGTTAGCCAGGATGGTCTCGATCTCCTGATCTCATGATCTGCCTGCCTCAGCCTCCCAAAGTGCTGGGATTACAGGCGTGAGCCACCGTGCCTGGCCAGAAATAAATATTTTTCTAGCCAGATTCACACTGTATATACAGGTTATCAATTAATGTAGTTAAAAATAGAGATAAAAGTAATCTAGAATGAAATCAATGGAAAGATGGGATTATGGCTGTTTTCTGTTTTCTTCTTTATAGTTTTCTAAAATGAGCACACTTGGTCAGGGTATAGCTTATTAACCTTCTAGACTGATAAATATCCAAGCAGAGGAGTTCAAGATCATGCAAGAACTACTTCATCTGTCATTAGCTGAAACAGCACCTCTTCCAGACAGTCTTCTTTGATATCCTCACATTGGGTTTGATGCCTTCTCTTTATCTCTGGAATAATAATAATAGTTAATACTTACTCTATGCCAGGCACTATTCTAAATGTTTTGCCATTTTTTAACCCAGCTCATTAAAGTATTCATTATCATTATCCCCATCTTACAGATGAAAAAACTGAGGTTGGTGTGGTAGCTCATGCCTGGAATCCCAACACTTTATGAGAGGCTGAGGCAGGAGGATCACCTGAGGTCAGGAGTCTGAGACCAGCCTGGCCAACATAGTGAAACCTCATATCTACTAAAAATGCAAAAACTAGCCGGCATGGCGGCTCATGCCTGTAATCCCAGCTACTCCAGAGGCTGAGGCAGGAGAATCACTTGAATCCAGGAGACAGAGTTTGCAGTGAGCTGAGATCATGCCACAGCACTCCAGCCTGGGCAACAGAGTGAGATTCCATCTGAAAACGAACAAAATAAAAAAAAAACAAACCCTGAGAAACAAGGACAGAATTCCACCCCAGTCCTGATGAAGGCAGAGCAGTCACTGAAAAGGTTGAGTTTAAGTTTCCCACCAACTAAATGTACCGAAGGCTTAAAGTAATGATCAAGTTGACTTTAAGGGG